TGGATGGTGTGCTTGCATAATGTATTTTGCATGTTGTAATGTGTATAAGCATAGTATGATTACAAGTTGCAAGTTAATAACATGTCGTCATGGTGTGATATACTTTGCATATTGAATGGTATGCATTCTGCATATTGCAATGTGTATGTGCACTTTACATGCCTTCCAAAGCATTTGTGTGATGCATATGTATATTCCCGATGCATTGATACATAGTTTATTGTGTGCTATTTTTCAAAACAACACTTCTTGGTGCGTCACATCTAAGTTTAGGAAATTAAATTTCGATGCATGAGGGGGTGTTCTTGAAATGTTCAAATATAATCAATTGTGCAAATGATTATTATTAAAGATGCACAAAATTTCATTTGGGGGCCTACAAATTCCTTATGTCCGCTTGTACGAATGTTGCGGATTCGGTGACGTGAAGGCGTATTAGCTTTAGTTGTTGTGTACAGGTGGTGTTATTTAGTTCACTTCATTATTTACAGGTTATCACATCCCCCAATTTAGCTCGTAGGAGTGAACTTTTGCTTGAAAGTATGTTAATGGTGTGTTACGAGTTCTCCACCTTTCATTTATAAGTGAGCTGATCTATTTAGCGTGACAACCTGACACTATGAATTTATTGCTTCTCCACCTTTCATTTATAAGAGAGCTGATCCATAGCTTTCACCTCAAATTTCCTACCTCTACTCATAGGTGACTAATAGTGTTGTGCTACGAGTCACTTGTTGCTTTATGCAGGCGAATTGTCGTGAAATATAAGCTTTGTTAAGTTTATTTGTGAGCCAGCAATAGACATTCAGAAGTCACCAGCTATTGTATGTAGGTGAATTGTGTTCAGCGTAAGTCTTCCAACATTGTCTTCAGGTGGGATTGTTGTTTGCATTTCAAGTCTTCTGTTGTTACCCGTGGGCAAGTGGCATTAGGTGCAAGTCTTCTCGTGTTGCCAACAGCTTGCCTACGACTTAAAGTAGTTGGATTATGACAGAGTATACGAACTTGTAACATGTCCAACAGCCCCACTTGCACTAATGCATGTTCGTGTTTTCTACCTGTGGGCGAGTCAGCATCACATGCTCATTACCCTGATTTGTAGGCAGACTATTGTGCATATAACAAGCCCTCTACCATTGCCAGTAGGTGCTTGTATTCATTGCCAATTTGTTGTATTTGATTGTAGATAGTGCGTCGTGTTTAGTGCAATTTCTTCAAACATATTTTTGTGGAGCTATCACATGCATTGCATATTTCTTGTAATCAATTATAGGCGAATCATTGTGCACATTGTGAGTCCTTTGTTGTGCCTGTAGGTAGATTGTTGCATTGCAAATTCTTCATTTCTACTTGTAGGCCAATTCCAATGTACATTACAAGTACTCTACACGTGCTCGTAGGCGAGTTATTCTTCTTACTACAAGTCCCTTCTTCCTGCCTGTAGGCTAGATAACGCATTCACTGTTCATGGCCTATGCATGCTTGTAGGTAAGTCATGTTCGTTACAATCACTGATTATGCTTGTAGGAGATCCGTCATATTCGTTAGATGCTCCTTTTTCATGTGTGCAGGCAATATAAACATTTCTTTACAAGTTAACTGATGTTGATAATAAGCAGGATATCTTCTTTATAATTTTATTGTCTTTGCTTATAGATATGCTGCATTTATCATAAATTTCTTATACATGACATTAACTGTAGGTGGGCTGACACGAACATTACAAGTTATGTGCCGTTCATGCGTGAGTCATGGCATACGTTAGAGGTTTCATATTACTACTTGCAGTCAAATTGTCATGCTCCCTTAGTTCTTGCCGATCATTGTTTGTAAGCAAATTGTGCTTGAAGTTTTGACCAACACAAGTCACCTGCTTCCTCATTTGTGCTCAATTTTTATTATTTTGTAATTTGTAGATTTTGTTTTAAATATTAGTCTGATTCCCTATTATTTTTATTTGCAAGTTCGGTTCCCTGTATTTTACTCAAATTCAGTTCCCTGTTAATTTGAATTTCGGCAGTTTTCTGGCATCTCCCCCGTTTAGAGAATTTTGGGGAGCCTAGGCCCGCCCATCATGTGAATAAAGGCATGCATGGTCGGTGTCGGGCGACACAACGACCGTGGTCTTCTACCCCACCATGTTAAGAAAGGAGTGCATGGGTTGCAAGGTACCTACGCGAAATACTTGCAAATTTTTCCGACAGCCTGAAAGCGCGTATGAGTACTTAGGTTTTACCTGCGTGCTAAGAAAAGCGTGTACGAGACTTACCCGCCTTGCCGCAAGCATCGCAATGAGCTCTCTCCCACCACGCTAAGAAAAGCATGCATAGGTGGTCCGCTCGTTGTGTCGCAAGCATTGAAAATGAGATTTGAGGGCTTTATTCGCCGTGCTAAGAAAAGCGCGCACGAGACTTACCCGCCTCATTGCAAGCATCGCACTGAGCTCTCTCCCACAACGCTAAGAAAAGCATGCATAAGTGGCCCGCTCGTTGCACCACAAGCATAAAAAATGAGATTTGGGGGCTTTTTTGAGTTTAGGGAATTTATACCTTGCGTGAGAGAGGCGATGACTACAGTGTCGACGACGTTGACGAGCGTGCACAAGTTTTTTGTTTTCATTTTCTTTCTTTTCTTTTCTTCTTCTTTAATAATAATAATAATAATAATAATAGTGAGGGTGGCCGAGGAACTGGTTTTGAGTGGGCTGGCTTTGGTGGGTATTTGATGGCTGTAATGGAGAAAGCTGAGACAACAAGTAACATGTTTAGTATAGGGGTGAGGTGGAATCACTAGAGTGGGTTGGTGAGGAGTGTGAGGTTGGATCTGTTAGTTGCTGTAGTTGAGGGGATCGGCTGGAAGGTTGGGTTCGACTGCTGCTGCTGGAGCCGAACAGAGAGTAGTAAAGGAGTGAGGTAGAGTGGGGCACAGGTTTGGTGCTAAAGGCTGGATCTGTAATAGCTAAATCGGATATCATATTAATTCTTATTTTCACACTAACATACCTTTCGACACAAATTTTATTAAGACAATGAACTGAAGTGTCATTGAGAATTTTTTTTTTTTTATGGACAATAAAATATTAGCTGTCATATCTTCAAAAGGGTAGAAGTTGTAATAAACGAACAATTTGACCCAAGACAATGGGAGGATGTACGGAAGGTTTTTCAATGATTATCTGGGTAGTGCACACAAGGAAATCTTTGGCAGGCAATAAAGGTTATAGTGGTTGTGGTAAACAAAGACAATGATTACACAAGCTTATACATACCATCACACAAATTTTAAATTCAAACATAACATTTAAGCGTATTATAGCTATATAACATACATCACACGAGTGTTTTGCAAATGTAAAATGCATTATATACATGTATTGGTAGTACATAATGCAATATGCAAATGTGCATGAGCATTAATTAATGTGTCAAATTCATTCATGCAAATAGGTTAAAATATTCCACATATGCTCCGATCTTTTTGTCACCCTTAAATACGAGATATGAGAATGTTATGCAGATTTGCTAAAGGTGCTCAAACACCCTGATGATAGTGTACTGACAAGAAATTTTAACTTGAGAGAGCTATTTAATGCAAAATATAAGATTCAAATCCTACTAAAAGGTTAAATTCTTAAAATGAAATCCATCAGCAAAAAATTTAAAACTAAGATCCATTCACACTTCGCAAAAGCTTGGTGAGGATGATGAATTAAAGAATAACTTCAGCTTACAAAGAGCAGATGTCTTGTTGAATATATTGCTATAATTCATTCTCAATTGATTTGTCGTCAACAGGGAAGTAGCACGTGTCCTTTTACCAGATGATTTTGCCACAAAATGATATCACTATATTATGGCAGCGACCAAAGCCCGTATGCTCCCTAATGGTTAAAAGCTCATTGAATAATGAATTATATGGTGCGATATAAAACTCATTGTTAACTAAGATTGACTTAAATTCAACAACTTAGACAAATATCAATTCCAGGTCTATAAGGTACCCTTGGACGACGTAACCCATGGTTGCTAGCAAGGTTTTTTTTGTCAGGTTGGGTCGACAATCTCCTCTAACTAAGTAGACGAGGAACTATGATAGCCCAGGATGATAGAATTATGATTGAGCCCATCATCATCTCCCATAATTTGCTTTAAGTAGATGGCGATAAATTTCAAATCATAAATTCCAAAATTCAAAATCAAATGCAAACCCTAAAATCACTGCTATTATATGTTAGGTAATTAATGCGACCTATTTAATGAATAGCTTTAATCTAAAGTTCTCTTTCATTATCTGATTGGGTAATTAACTAGCGCATATATATCGGAAACCAAAACTCAGATCATAAAGTCCTTGTAAAATGAATGTGAAAATTTTTGTGTAGTGTCTTATCTAAAATCTAACCTGCCTTCTGAAATCTGCATGGAATCTAAACTCATTAAAACTCTCCCTATTAATAAAGAGTTGTGGAGATGTCGCGGCGTGAATTTTCGGAGCTCACAACATGCACACATAGAATACAAATAAGAAAGAAGAGGAGAGGAGAAGCTATACTACACTTTTCTTCTATTTCCTTGCAATTTTCTTGCATCCGTACACTCAAAGGAGCCGACTTTTAAAGGACCCTCAGGCTATTACGTGTTAACTTACACTACTAGATAAATGAACATAAAACTCTTGACTTCTTCTAATCCCTTCCTTGATATTGTTAACTTAAGAAAACTCTCTTTAAATTGGCTTAAAGTTGCTCAACTCAAGTTTTTTGCTTTAGTACTACATTTTGTTGGCTGTAGACGAACCTTCTTTTTACAGGAGAAAGTTTCAATTTCAACTGAAAAAATGGTTTGACTTTTTGTTACCTTTTATTTAATTATTTGCCCAGATGTGGGATATAAACTCGTTCTCTTTCATGAACCAAGTATTTATGCCATAGACTGAGCCGGTTTAATGGTGACTTTATGTGCTAATTATGAATGCTTTTCTGTTTTTGATACTGATTATAGAATGGAGTGCGAGGGCTGATGCTGGATATGTATGACTTTGAAGGTGATATCTGGCTTTGCCATTCATTTCAGGGGCAATGTTACAACTTCACTGCTTTTGTGAGCATCTGAACTTCTGTCTTTTCTTCTTGATGCTCCTTTGCCACCCTTATCTGGATAGATAAGGTAGTCGCTGGAATAACTTCAATTGATTGTGTCTAACTTCCTCTTTTACAAGTTAGATAAGTGGAAAGCTCAATAGAGCGAGCACAGGCCATCTTAATGATGCCTTAATCCATGCATACCAGGAACCTGCAATCAACACTCTAAAGGAGGTGGAGGCATTCCTGACTAATAACCCAACGGAGATTGTGACCATTTTTATAGAAGACTATGTCCGGACTCCAAAAGGGTTGAGTAGCTTGTTCACTAATGCAGATTTGATGAAGTATTTGTATCCATTGGCGGAGATGCCCACAAATGGCAAGGACTGGCCAACTATTACAGAGATGGCGGAGAAGAACTATAGACTACTGGTGTTTACCTCTGTTGCCTCTAAGGAAGCTGACGAGGGAATTGCTTACCAGTGGAGATACGTGCTGGAAAATGAACGTAAGTGCTATGAAAACCGATGGCTAATGATAAAATATACCTATAAATCTATTTGTGTGTCGATTTTAACATGTTTTCTCTAAACAATTATTGACAAAAATAACCTTGATTTCAAATTTACATTTTGAAAAATTTATGGCCGCTTGAATATCATTTTATGTTATCTTTGGGAGTTCGGTATCGAGTTCTGAGTGCACCGGAGCATTTCCCAATATACTAAGGTCATAGACATAATTTAGCCGCTTTTACTGCTGATAAATAAAACAATAGATGTACAAATTTATCTGGTGAAGAATTGTCAGAAATGTAATGACATCTAGTAAGCTAACTTAATGTTATTAGGTTAATTTTTATTTTTGAATTTTTCTTTTTTATTTTGATTAAATAGAATAACTATTCAGATAGGTTGTGCACTACACAAGAACTTTGGATTATTCTAGCACTAAAAATGTCATAGATTCAAAAAAACTTCTAAGAAGTAGAAGAATTTAAATTTTTAGCGGAATAATTCTATCTATACATTAATGCATTAATGCGGACTTTAAAATCCTACAAATACATTAATGTGGATTTTAAAATCCTACAATTCCATCATACTATTGATTTTTGTGGTTATTATTTTAAACTTTTGTCTACATATAATCATGTCAGGTGAATCCTTAGCATCGGTCTGCCAACATTTTTCTAAGATGATCCAACATTATATAGAATAACTATTTAGATAAGTTTTCACATTTACTGTAGCTATTCAAGCTCATCTAACTACCACTGCTACTAGATATGTCCTTCTTCCAACTAGACTTTCCATATTGTGAAATAAATTTAGCTTGAGAATCTTGTGAAGCTCCCATAACATCTACATTTTTTCTTTTCTGGAATTCACGTCTCCTTTGAGTATTTTGTATATCCATCTAAATCCTTCTAGGTCTCTCCACTAAAATAGAATATTCCTAAATCCCTAGAGGAACAAGAGGTTGTTTGATAGCATCTTTTAATCCAGATAAAAATCGATAACATTTTTCTTCTGCAATATAAACTATAAGGGGCATATCTGGATAAGATAGTGAATTCAGCTTCATACTGTATTACTGATCTGTCTCTTTGCACCAGTTTCACAAAATTATCCTGCATTTGCCTCCTCGTAGAAAAAGGCACAAACCAATCTCTAAACACTTGAGTAAACTCGTTTCATTTGATCTACATACAAGGTATCCCTCCAAACTTATCTTGGTGTTGACCCCTCCACCACCTTTCATCCTTTCCTTGAAGTACACATATCGCCAATGAAACATTTTTTTTTTCCGTTTAGTCAGAACATACCCTCTAATATCCTCTCTATTAGTAACAACCAATTTTCTGCTTCAATTGGTCATTCTACTCCTTTAAATAATGACGGTTGCATATCTTGAAATAACTTTAAATACATATTTATAGACATGCTAATGCTACCACCACTTCCTGATGGCTAAATTCTTCATTCATGAATTAATTGAGTGATTGCTTTTATCATCTGAGTCAATGTATCAGTACTGGCAACAATATTTGGCACACAAAACTCTTTCCACATCTTCTTTAGAATCATAATGAGTTTTAAAGTAAAATATATATTGTAAAATTTCATAATTTTATATCTGATCAACTTTCTTAACCTCAATAATTAATCTACTGGCTCTTTTTAGTATGATTAATATCCTATTTGGTTTTTGATACCACTTTTGTCATGATCCAGCCCAAATACTCAAAATTAACGAGACGGGAACAGACGATCGAATGATTAATACATTTTTTTCAAATACGTAAACAGTTAAAAAACTAACATCCCACATAAATTAAAGGGCCATTAATAAATTTGCAAATTTTAACATATACATAAACCAGATTTTTTTTTGTTTTCATTTGATCTCCTTCTTTTGTAGATGTATTCTTCTCTTTCAGCTATTTTATTTTTCAAAAAATTTACCTGAAATTTCTATAAGTTTTATTTTACACTGTAACTCCATGAATAATCACAGTTTGTAATATAATAGTTTAACAAACATAAAAGTAATCAAGTTTCTTTACCTTTATGGTATAGTTAATATATTCATTACATTTCATATGCTGTAACATATTCATAATATTTCATATGCAGTAGATTTTTATTTTAAGTCTTTCAATTAACTTTGATTTTTTTTTCATTTCATTTATTCATTTTTCATCTTCATTTATTCATTTTTCCTTTTCATTTAGTACAAGAGCACCGTTTAAGATTTTGTACCAATGAAGGTACAATAATTTTCAATTTTATTTCTTTTACATTTAACATGCACGGGTATGTTAAATCCCCAGCTCGTATCATAAGGGGATGCTCCTGTATTTATATGTATGTACATTTTTTTTCTTTTAATATTTTTATTTTCATATAAATATTCATTTAGTTTACTTAGTTTTTTATCACATGGTATATTAATGTATAATGACAATTATATATATATATATATATAACTTTATAATTTTCAATTATTCAGTATTCTCAAATTTGTTGCATACTAAATATTTAACTATAATAAGTATTTGGGCATATTATAATGTTCAATAATAGCAATATAATGAAGAAAATAGAATTACTATAACTAGCATAATCATCCAGTTTATTCTTCTTAATTAATTCATTTTATATATTAAACATTCAATCAACATAATGGTATAACATAAAATAATTGCAATAAAAATAAAAGAAAATTATAATTGTTATAAAATAATTGTAATTACCTACTTTGATTTCTTTTATGTATATAGATCCTTTTAAATTCTTGATCTTTGGAATAGCCTTCCTTAATGCAACCTAAAATCACATACACAATTATATGAATATATATTGCTACCTTAAACTATATTTTTCATTATATTTGAATAACTTTTGCATTAACATTTGAGTACCTCTTACCTATTCACTTCTTAGAACTCTTGTTGGAAATCAGTACTTATTTTATCTCAGCTCAATAGTCAATTCTTTCAATGATCTTCCTTTTTGTCGAATCAAATATTTCACCGCTTATATGAATATCAAAATCTCAATTCTATATACAAATCATTAAATTCTTTCCTTTCACCAAATAATAAAGTTGTTGAACATTCTTCTTTTTTCTTCTTTACTGCATTCAACTTATCTAAATTAAGTAAACGAACATATCACAAGAATTTACATCAATCAACAATTAATTTCTAAAAATTATTGAAGTTAACTATTCTTAATTTAAATTAATTAATTTAAAATACCTTCATGATCTTTCTTCCGAATTTCCTTCTCTTTCCCAGACTTTCTCCTTTACCTAAGAAATAATAAAATAAAGCAATAAATTACTTTCGTATTTTAGTAATGGAGAAAAAAAAAAAAACTCCTTACAAGCATCATATTCTTCTTCCTTACCCGAATTCTTTTCTTTCTCACAAAATTCCTTTTTTTTTTCTCTCAAATTTTCTTTTTCTTCCTCCTCTATCGCTACGTTCTCTCGTTTAGAGCTTCCTTCGTTCTCATGGTTCACTGGAGTGATCGAATCAGAGTTATCTCCCACAATGAGTCATTTTTTTGCATTGAAACGTGTTTTCTCGCTCATTCGTACAATCTAAACTCACCTGCTACGCCTGTACGTGCTCACTGCCTGCTTGTTCACTCATTGTTTCTCGCCTGCTCGATTATGCTTCATTCGCTTTAGTTAGGGCTCGACTTAATTGAATCGGCCAAGCCCGATTCTTACAAATTGTCACCCAACATACTCTCGAGCTTTTCTCCACTAACACCATGAGTCACTTCATTCAACTTCATAGTCAATTTGACAATGGTCGCCAAGAGGAAAATTGCGTAAGCCTCGAGGCGTATTTAGGGCAAATTGCGCAGAGGCGCGCTTCAAGTTCACTCTTTTTTAAGAGAAAAAAAACCATCGATACATTTTATGTCGATTACTTAAAGTGAAGCATTTTTAGATGACATTCATAGATACAATTAAAGAAGAAGATTCCCTTGAAGACCCATTTACTGATGGGATATGATTGGATTTTATATGTTCCTTCTTAATTGTATTTTGGGAGTTCTGATAGACTATAATTTTGTGGTTTTGTGCTTTAGAACATGCTTTTATTGCATCTTTTTTTCTTAATTTCCACTAATTCCACTTATCATTTAGATGTTTTTATTGTATGATTGAATCTTGCTATTATTTACCTGCTAAAACCCTTAAATTCTTATTTACGCAATTCTTCGTCCGTGAGGCTTATGCCTCAAACCGCCTCGAGGCTTACGCCTCAAACCGCCTCGAGGCTTACGCCTCAAACTGCCTCGAGGCTTACGCCTCGCCTCACTAATGAAGACCGCCTCGAGGCTTATTTACGCAATTTTAAACCTTGTCCACAGCCAAAGTCCCTCTCTTGGCTCCTAGGCGTCATCGCCGCATCATATAACAGTGTAATGCTCCACAATATTTCATACTAAAGATGAGTAAAAGATTAGAATCCCATAGAAACATTATTGCACTAATGCAATAACAAGTTATTCACCGTAAAAAGTCTTGAAGACACTTTAATAAGCTATTTGATATAGAACCACCAACGATTCATTCTTCATCGTTGCTAGCACTGCTCTCTCTACTGTAGAATGTTTCGGAAGAGCCAACCTCTTTTGCAACAACGGTCCACATTCTACACCCGAGAAGACCATAACCACTATGAACTTTGCTTTCCAGTCATGCACCTTATTTGTCAGGCTGATTGGTTTACCTATCGAGTGCGAGACATGGATGAAACATTCTTAGGATGCCTTCGCCATGAAGACATGCTTGAATAGTTCAACGACTATGGCAAGCCACACTCCTGTAGCCAAGAAGCAAAAGAAATCACTACCGCTACAAATTTTGACAACAATTGTGAGGGAATCGCCCCATAGAAGTTCAAAATTTCCTCTATCTCTATGCACAAAGGGAACCACAACCCTAGCAACAAATGATTGATGAGAATGACCAGCTCTCTGTCGAACAACGAGTTGATTCGCTTGTCCTATGCCGCTGCTCAAACAAAGAAGCCCTCATGAGACAAATAGAAGACCTTAAAGACATAATTGTCAATGTTCTTTTAATAAAAAAATTTGCTCGCTCATTTGCATAGTCCAGACATCCTGGTTTCAAAGAAAATAGAAGAAATAAAGTACCGATCTTCCCTCAGGGTCCTACCAATTCTATTTATAGTTGAGAACTCATTGCAAGAGATTTCGAGACATCTCAAATGAAAAGTAACGCAAGAAGATCTCACCATTCCCTCTTATCATTACGGGATCTGGAGAGCCACTATGTACTCGTTCCCAACAGTCTTTGTAGCCACTCTCAGAATCTGTGGCATGTCAACCGCTTCGTTCTGTTTGACATAACGACTTTTTAGTTTCAATTCTCATGGAATATTCTCAAGAATCAAAAATTTTATTCAAACATAGATCGTCACGTCCGAGCTCGTGGATAAATGCAACCATTAAAAAAATTAACTAGTACGATCATTTGGTGCGTTCTAGTACAAGATCCTTCTCCATACTTAGTGTCAGTCCACACATCCGATCAAGATATTCCACGATGGACCGAGCACCCTAGTAAAAATCCTATTACTTAGTTTGGCTAAGCAATGATCACAATTCAGCCTCCATTGAGCCCATGCGGTTCCACATGGTTGCCACCTGTTCTTTCAAAGAGGCGATCTATTCTCTCACACTGGCATCCCCCGCAACACCAGCCTCCCTTTGAGTAACATGAAGCTCGCCTAAGCTCTAAACCTAACAACCAACTCTAAGTCGTCAGCCTCCCAAAAATTTCATCCAACAAAATTTTCCTAGGGGGAAAGGTGGGATTAGTGAACGAAGTATACGTGAAAGAGGCCAATGGCTGCTCAAGCATCTTAACAGCTGCCTGTTCTTCAGCGACTTCTCAGCAATAGTAATCGTCTCCTCAGTGACTCTAAGTCGTCAGCCTCCCGCTCAATGTTTAAAATTGCGTATTCAGGTATTGAGGCGTTTTTCATTCGAGAGGCGAGGCGTAAGCCTCAAGGCGTTTTGAGGCGTAAGCCTCAAAATCAAAAGATTGCGTAAGCATAAAATGATAATTTTTTTATATACTAATGAGTGAATAATATAAAACATAAAAAAAAAACATAAGATATGAAGTGAAATCAAAATATTCCAATAATAAGACAACATGAAATGTAGTTCAACTCAAAATTCTATCTTTCCCAAATCCCAGTATTCTTTTCATTAACATATAATTCAAATTTCTAAAAATAAATAGCAATGATATATCACATAAGAACTTATAAGTCATCAACACTGTCATCACTAAGGGGTTCTTCATTTGAATCATCATTATGATGAACTACTCTCTCCCCTTCCTCCTCTCTTATAGAGTCCAATGTCGGGCATTTACTTCAAGATTTATGTAAGTTTTAATATATATAGCGTGAGGCGAGGCGTGCCTCAACCTAGTTGAGGCGCAAGCCTCATAAAAAATTCGAGGCGTAAGCATCGAGGAGTTTTTTACTGGAATTGCGCAAAGGCGGGCCTCAAGGCGAGCCTTATATTGCGCAATTTTAAACCATGCTCCCGCTCAGGCATACCTGCCTTCTGCCAAGGAGCTTCACTCACGCTCCCTGATGCTTTTAGGAAGAAAAGGATGATTTTCCTCATCCTTCGGACCTTCAAAACCTTAGGTCGTGCCTCTCGCCACCGGAACAACAGGAGCAGTCACCTCCTCTGCCCTCGTAGCATGATTAGATAGCAAATTATTTTCAACAATAATCAGCTCCCTGACACACTCTTTTTTTCAATAGAGAACTAGCGGTCAGATCGGGTGAGTCCACATACACTTGTCCCTCTTCTCTAGCGGCAAGGCCAATCCCACTAGAAACAAGCAAGACTTACAATTGGAAAATAATAACAAACTTACATATGACTCAAAACCCGTATTTATAGAGAAACCAGATCACGGGACCGCCCGATCTCCTTGGAATTTTGAACATGGAAATCTGTAAAAGATTCAGGGCAATAAATTTTCATTTACTCATGCTTTCCTTTCTTGGTTTATCTATTTATCTGACCTTTTTCACATCCAATGTTCAAAGGGTTGCATAAATCGGGGAACTTAATATACACTCATAATTACCTATGCAGGTACCCGTTCATAGGTGTCTTGCAAGCTACAATCTGGTCGAGTGAAAGGTGGATGCATTCCTCTCTCAGAACAACTCATTCAAGGGACTTGCTCAGGTGCTGGAAGGAGTTTAACACTAGAGCACGACGGATTAGGACTGGTCACATCCCCTTAGAGTTTTTTTCTCAGCTAGGCAAATCTTTATTCATCTAAGACAGAGCCAAAGCTCCCATGCAAGATACACTAAGCAGCCAACGACACACATTGCCTCTTTGAAGATCTCACTCTCACGGTCACCAGAAGACCATGTTTAGACGCTACTCGCCCCTTTTACCTTAATGGGGCGACCCTCACATCGTACCGTCTTCCAAACAACATCTAGACTACACTTATCCCCTCTCATCACAATGGGAGGACCACATTTACCATTCGATCTTGGCCGACTTGCTCTACTCAGCTGCCGACCAGCTCGGTGTCGGCAAACTATAATTAAAGATCGATGGCACAACTACATACTAGGACGTAACTCTTGCATTCTTCCAAACCCTATGGGGGGGTCAGGAAAGAAGGATATTTTCTTTTTTTCTTTTTGGAAAAGGAGGAACGTATGTGAGAGCACATACCACAACAAAAGAAGAAAAGAGAGGAGAGATTCACAAAGCATTATATCATTATTCTTGTATCTCTTGCTTGAGTAATAAAGATATTGACTAAATCCATATTTCTTTCCTTCTCTCACACTCATACTTTATCACCTTCCCCCCATCGGCTCTCAATCTACAGGTAGCGCATAGTACAACCCAACATCATCAACCGAACAAAATGGGATCCAATAGTTTCCTTGCATAATGAGAAGAAAAAGACTAATAGTGCAAGGATACTCCTTTAAGGATGAAGGAAAATGATTTCTCTTCTTTAGATATAGCCTGGTCAAGAAAGGATTCTAGGGCCCTTAACCATTGGTAGCCAAGCTTGCACTAGTTCTTGGCGAGTCCGCCAACTTCTCTTTCTCATTTGTTCTTTGTTTTATTTTTTGTTCTTTGATCCCCTTGTAAATTTCTCCTTCCATGTTTCGTCTTCTCTTAGTTTTCTCCATTTTGCCTTTCCTTTTTGTTTTCTGTTTTGGTATTTTCCTTTTTTTTTCCTTCTTTATCTTCTTTTTCTTATGCTGATATATGTTATATACACCTATATCCAGCCATGAATTGCATTCCCATCCTGTTTCCTATGTAAGCCCATCACCAACTTTACCTCTTCCTCTTTGTGTGCCTTTGTGTGTTCTTGTCAACTTGGCTACTCACTTAAGTGTAACCTTCATCGACTTCCTAGTGGTTTTTATCTCATTTTCTTAGCTCTTGGCTTCAGTTGGGAAGCACTTGGAGCCTTCATCACCTTTGCTTCATGTTCAACCATCCTTTTTTTTTTCTTCCTTTTAACTTGGTGATTTAGCTATTACCATTATTAACATATATCCTTTTCTTGCTCGTGATTTTTTTTTCTTCTCGTACTCAACCCTTTTGGAAGTGGGCTTATTTGCTTAGGGTATTAAGGCAATGATGATAGCTGGAGTTGGTTTCCCAAACAGGCGTCTTCTTCCAGGTGAACTACATTTTGCGTAGGCTCTTGGTTGGAGAATACTCTTTTACTGTTATCAGGATTGTTTGGCCAGGAGTTGTATCTTTTAGTCAACTAATTCGGTTTCTTTGCTTCTTCCTGTGATTCTTTGTAAAAGAGAAATAGCTGTTTGTGCTCTGAATTATTTAATAAATAAGAATGAGAAAAGGACCAAAATGGTCCATTGACTTTTTATGAAAGATCAAAATAGTCTCTGGCTATATTAAATGACAATTTTTGTCTCTAAACTTCTTAAAGAGGGATCAAAATAGTTTCATTATGGGATTATTTTGATTCATTTTTAAAAGATTTGACGGACCAAAATGGTCCTTTAATATAGTTAGGGACCATTTTGATCTTTCATAATAAGTTAATGGAAATATGAATTAATGATACTTTTGCGCTATTTGAAAATTTGTTTGTGAAGCAGTTTTTTGCTTTAGTATGAAGACTTATAATAATTGATGTCATGCTTGTCTCTTCGTTGAATATTTCTGTTTCTTTTTTAGCTTTATGGTAGTCTCAATTGCTCTGTTGACGTTGTAAATGGATTCAATCATCCCTTGACATGGTCTCAATTGCTTTGTTGACTTGCTTTCACTCAAGTTGTTGCAACTTAGCCAAGGGCTGCACCTCTCTTGAGGCCAGAGGTTTGCCTCAAGGAGGTAGGCTCATCAGTTTTTAACATATATTTTCCATCTACAAGCTACCAAACAAACCCTTAATGTACTCTCTTTGTCAATCTTCAATTTTTCAGTACTGAGAAAATGTATCTTTGCTTATTTGCAATTTATTATCTCTGCAGCTGGAGATCCAGGCATTCTGCCAGGCTCCTGTCCGAATAGGAGGGAATCCCAACTATTGACTTCTAGATATGCTTCTCTATTCTTGCAAAATTATTTCCCAACGATACCCGTCCAGAATGATGCTTGCAAGGAGCATTCTTCTGGACTTGCTGAAATGGTTGACGCCTGTTACAAGGCTGCTGAGAAGCTAATGCCCAACTTTCTTTCAGTGAACTTTTACTTGGTAATGCTAAATTTATCTATTTTTTATTATGAATGTCGCCGAATTTGAAAGACACTAACCAGGAGTTGTTGCAGAGGAGTGATGGCAGAGGCGTATTTGATATTCTAGACAGAATGAATGGACTAACTTTGTGCGGGTGTCCGACTGTCTTTGCCTGCAAGGTTTGTTTTGCAATTCCCTCTCACAATTCAAATAATAATTCAGTTTCCACCTTTAAATATCTTACTTTTCCTTAAGTCCATTAAAACATCCATTTTAGTTGCTTAATTGTATCTAAATATCATACTATAACATATCACTTTTATTATTATCATATAAGAAGCTTTAAATATTACTTTTATGACCACAAAACTTGTTTCTTTTTGAAATTTGAGGGTAATTAATGCCTTTAGCTGTTGTCAGCTTGGCCAGGATTTATCTAGTATAATTATAACATTTTTTTTTTCAGTTGATTACCACTTTAGTCATAACATCTATATAGTAAGACTGCAAATGACAATATATTTGGTAATTTTCATCATTCTTGAATGGATATTTAGATGGATTGATGAAAATTGGATGGTGATGTAGATAGTTAAACAGATAAATGGAGGGATAAATGCTCCAATGAAAGCTTAGTTTGCTGATTAGATCTTTTCCTAGAAGGTACATATATTCTTAGTAAAGATCAATCTCCATGTCACTATTAGAAATGTATGTGTGATGGTGGTGGATATACTTTTATTGATATTAATGGAAAGAAATGTCTAGTATTTTATTTTAATATTTAAGGATGTGATCCGAAGTTTATGGTGGAAAACTTAGAGGATTTAGATAGGCTTCGCGGTGGAAATCCCAAGACTAGCCTACTTTGGGTTAAGTTTGGGCTTATTTGAAAGAAGTCTTTAGGGTATATGTTTTAAGTTGGCTAATTGGTGGGAGATAATGGTGGATGGTTAATGAAGAATATGAACTAATGATCTGGCATAGATTATTAGATTTGGCGGAGTTTAAGTTGTTGTCGAGGGGTAGGGAACAAAACTAAGTCCTAATCTTGCTCGGTTTGATTGAGAGCTACATATGGGGTTTTGGAGTGGTAACGAGGCTTGGGTTGGGTGGTGTTTGATTTTGGATGATGATTAGAATGTAGGGGAAGTTTGAGAAAAAATTGAGAGCAATTGTTTAGAGAAGAAGAGTAAAACTTATATAGAAAAATGATAGCAGTCTAATCTCACCAAAGAAAATATTAATTCTTGAAGTTATAAAAAAAAAGCAAATGAAGATTAATTTTCATTTATAAGCAAAAGATGACCCTTAAACTTTCTCATTTTGAAGGAAAACAATGGGGGAAAAGAGGGAAGGGTTGGCCACTTGACAAAGGTGAAAATTTCTAACATTTTCATTTAAGATTTTCATTTTCCATACTTCTTCATTAAATTGGTTGACCATACATGTTTTTAAGGCATTTTAAAATAGAAAAATAAAAATAAAACTATACTTAATTTATCATTTAACCTTAACATGAATTTAGTTCATGGATTTTCTCTAGCTTGGGCATTTTCGTTTTCTCTTATAATGGATCCAACAGACTAATTTGAATTGTTCACTTGATGTGCTGCATTAACTCCTTCGGAATAAGTTGAATTCTACTCCATAAAGTTAAAATCCTAAAAGTATTCTTCTAGTAGTTGTGAGGCTAGGGTCTCCAAATTAGTGCGAGCCAACCATGCGCCATTACTAGGTGGTTTATGTTGACCTCATTTTTGAAATAAAATTATGATTGTCGTCGAAGAACTTGGAGAATTTCATTTAAAAGAGATTCTAGGAGTAGAACCCAGGTTTTAATTTAAATGCATTACTTGGTTGCCTCTATAAATAGTTGTAATTAAGTGACACTTCGTATATCGGACTTTTCTTATACTTTGCTTTGTTGCTTTTTATGTGTTGGTGGTTGGGTAAATGTTGTGTTTTATATTGATAGTGCTTAGAAATTGTCTATTTTTTTAGGTTTATTTCTTGTATGTGATATTTGCCTGAATTTACACTTAGGCTCTTTGGAATAAAAGATTCTTATGCTCATAATTAAACAATAAAATTTTGGTGTAACAATATAGAAAGATAGTCATTGTAGAACATAAATTGGAATTTGGTCGAAGTCGCATTGCACATTCTATTTCTATTTCTTGCCTAGGCACCTCCCTGCCTACGAGTAGAAATAAACCACCTGACATATTAAGGTACAATTTTGCTCAGGAAAATTATGTTGTTTTAGAATAAAACCTATTTTCTAAACTTCACATTATGATTACTGCATATAGTCAATTAGCATGCATTGCATTAGAACTCAATTTAAAAATAAAATATAATTGTATTTAGCTTTTAGTGCATAACTACCATTAATAAGTTCGGGACTATTTAGGATTTATAGATGTCAGTCTCAAATTTCTTGATTAAATGATAGCCTACCTATCCTACATTTGCATAAAATTGGATATCATGATTTTAAAATCGATTAGGTGGTTTAGCTGACATTTCACACCATGTGAGATGTAAGTCAAGAAGAGTCGGACACTTTTGCATTTCATTAGAATACTTTGGGCTACTACCATGTGGTGCCTAACTTAGTTTTAGGTTCTGAGGCTGATTTCACATTATAAACCTTCACCTATTGGGTATTTCATTGATCTTATGATGAAGAATATAAGTCTCAAATTTTTAATAAAATATCAACTCAAACAATAAATTTCAATATTAAAATTATAAAGCTCAACCATAGAATAGTTTGAGATATTTCTGAGCTTCTTAAAATTGTGTATCTCCTACCCCTCTTTCGACTTTTTAAAAACAAAATGTTTCAAGTTTGAGCCGATCCCTTTTGAAGTTTCCAAAATTCATCAATTATTGATCCTAAACTTTTAAAATCATAATTTTGATTATCACAACCTTAATCGAAAGTTTTCTCAGGGAATCCTATCTCTTAAGGTGTAATTAATTATAAGGGCTTGCCCTTACAGAGAATAACTAATTCAATTTAAAATAAACCCAACTTTATTTAGCTCCTAAATAAAGTAGGTGACAAATCTTTTGGAAATTGCAAACCAGAATATAATTTTCTATTAAATATCATTATTCTTGTATTTGAATCCTTAGCAAAGTGATATCTCCATCCATCGGGATGGTATGTCATTTCCTATGATGATTTAATTATGAGATTAATGAAACTATCTTATTATTGATATTGAATATATAATTGAACAACATTTTAATCTCCCAAGATTATATATTATTCCTTATAATAATTTGGTTACAATAATTATGAAAAAAAAAATATTTTTTGTATTTGAATCCGTTGAGGAATTGTCTTTTGAGAGATATTATTCACAATGTTGTATGCGATTACAAAAATAGAAATTCAAAATCATGTTGGACCTATAATTTTCTAAACAATTTATTCTTCCAACGAATGAGAATTTGAGACTCTGCAGCTAGATTAATGTGTGCCTCCTCTATAATGATATAGTCAAATTACATGGATGAGGGAGTTTGCAAGTGTGGAACTATGTCTCCTATCAAAGAGTTAGATTAGACAAGTGGATATTTGCTAACTTCCGCATATTTATGAGAGAATATCTTTAGTATTAATAATAGGATGAATTAACATTTCTACAAGCGGTTAATATGATAGACATTAGATTCAATTTTTATAAAAATTTTGAATTGGACACAAGCCCTTGTATATAATTTCTTAAACTTAATAGTATGGTATTGCTCTTGGCAGAAGCGAATCAAAATAGTCTCCTTGTTTAAATTCCCTTATTGACCTATTATGATTTGCCTTAAAGGCATATTTGTCATTGTTTAATTTAATTTACTTTCTTAAGATGTCATGAAGGCCTTTGAAATCTTTGGCAAATGAAAATGTAGAATCAGATAATGCATGAGATGTGAGGTTAACTACATCAATCATCTAGGGTTATAACCATATATCATTTTAAAAGGTGACGTCTTAGTTGTCTAGAAACAATACTATTATATGTAAATATAGAGGCAGGCAAATGCAAGTCCTAATTTCTTAAAATTTTTTCTATAGGACACCTTTAGAAGGTTTTGTTAAGTTTGATTCACTATTTTAGTTTGCCCATCCATTTAAGGGTGAAAAATAGAAGAAAATTTTAATTTTGTTCATAGCAATTTTCACTTGTCTTTAAAAAATATGAAATAAATCTAACATCTCGATTAGACATAATGGTTGAAGGCAAAACATATAAGTGCAATTTTTTTTAAAAGAATAATTTAGCTATATGAGAGGCACCATTAGTTTTAGAGCAGGGTAGAAAACGCGTCATCTAATAGAATTGACCAGTTACCATAAAAATGTTATCATGTTATTAAGCTATGCGGGGCAATCCTGAGATGAAATTCATCGTTAGATCTTCTCAAGGCCTATAAGGAACATGTAAGGCAATGTATTGATCAGATTTTTATTTGGTGGCTTTAGCTTGTATATAAGTCAAACATTGGGTCACCAAATTTTGGAACATCTCGATTAAGGTAATGCAATAAAAATCAAATTTCCATTAAACAAATTGTTGCCTTTTCCAAAATGTTTACTTATTCCCCTATAATATAATTAAAAAATTTTAATTTCCTTAATGAAGTTCTAGGAATATATAGTTCTTTTTATTGATTCAAATATCCATTAATTACTGAGAATGTTGCTTGCAAGGTTAAGAACTTATCCAAGTACAATAACAACTTAACATCAACATCAAGCCTTTATCTCATTGTGTGGGGTTGGCTACATGAATCCTTTTCCACTATTGTGCCCTATTAAGAGTCATTTAAATCTAATTAAAAAAAGATCATTTCTAATACTTTCTAACCAAGAACTTATCCAAGTGTTCAAGGTAAATTAGATAAAGTCACAAAACATGTGATGCTCATTTTTAATTCATTTAAAATTTGAAAATTTAAGTTCTAAAGAACTGAAAGTTAAAGTTACCCTAGATAAGACATCAATAGGTTTATTTTTTACTCCAAGTTTATGTTTGAGAACAAAAGAATAATCTCGGAGAAATTCAAATCATTTGGCGTGTCTATAGGGGTGTCAATATTTGATCCAACCCGAAAATCCGACTTGAACAAAACACAAAAATTTCGGGTTTGAGTTAGATAATGCGACCCGTTTGTAAAATCGGGTCGGATTCGGGTTGACCTAGAAACCTGAAAACAACTTGTGTTGACCCGAAACTGATTCTGTCACGTCCGTCTGACTCGGGTTGCGTCTGCCATTCGTCTGAGAGCCGATGTCACGTGCCGAGATCGGAAGTAACAACGGCTAATTGGTTTCGGCAGTTCAGTAACAACAATGACAGGAGGAGCTTGCGTGCTACCATTGCCGCGTGCCGCTGCCGGCTCCCTGAGCTTAGCGTGTGTATGGAGCCGAACCTACAGCGTGTCGATAGATTTATGGGTCGGGTCGGGTTTACTCGAACCCAAAGCGTGTCAGGTTCGGGTTCGAAAAACTAACCCGTTTGTAAAAATGGGTCAGTTGAATAGTGCCGTGTCAGTTTCGGGTTCGACCCGAACCCGATCCGTGATCCGATTTTGACAACCCTATGTGTCTATGACTTCACTTTGATTTAGCATGGATGAATTTGAGAGCATTATAGTCTGAGTTAAGAATAAATTCTCTATATAAAAATGTAGTGATGCTAGTGTTTTGAATATTAGATAATAGTATAAAATTCACTATCATATGTTAAATATTGTTATTTTTGCCACATTTAGTTTCTCAATAAAAAGGCTACTATATGATTCCCAACTTAAACTCCACCAATTCTAATTCCAAAAGCATTACAAGTTACTTCAAAAGATTTAGAAAAATTAAGTAGTCTAAAGATAGGACTGGAGATACTGAAAATCTCAAGTTGCTTTAAGAATTTTCCAATTTCATAATATCAGTGATTGGGGCAACAATTATGTTGAAGTCCTTAATAAATATTTTGTGGAAAGTAACAAAGACAATGTAAAATTCATTCTTCAATGAAACTCTTAGGTGAGTGCCAATCTATGATAGCTTGAACTTTAGAAGGATCATGCTTAATTTCAACAATGGAAATAATGTGTTCTAGTAAAATCATCTTAGTTTGCAAAAAATAAATACACTTCTTCATGTTCATGTCATGTGTTCTTTTGTGTTAATTTTAAAGACCTATCTAAGATGTTGCAGATGGTCTGGCTTACTTGGTTATAAATTAATATATTAGAAAAGTACTTAACTATAATTTTCCTATGAAGGGTTTTAAGACACTGTTTATTAACCTCATAAATATGTTAGTAGTATTTAAATATCCAAATGGCATCACCCATTATTCATA